AATATTGAGGCAAATATGTATCTATCAAGATAAACTCGAACACCCTCAGAATTAATATATGAAGTGATTGATATTAAGAGGAAAAACAAAATCTACCATGCTCTCATGAGCCTATAGTGCACAGAAAGATTAAAAAGAAAAAAACACAAAACGTTTTCGTAACAGAAAGACACTGTCACCCAAATTACTGCCATTGGTAATCGCACTACCAATAAAGCAATAGTCTTTGAGAACTTCACCAGAGAATAAACAGTTGTTAACAGAACAATGTAGAGACTTACAGGTCATTTTAGAAATTACATTTGTGTAATATATATGATTAAAAATATAAGACGACTAGAGATTATGTCTCTTAATGCAGTTACATAAATCTAATAAATTCAGCTTCAGTATTTTTATTTATTCTCTATTTTATCTGTCAAGTTCGTATTAACAAGTTAAAAGAATGTAACATTTTTGTATAATTTTATTGCGTTTTTAGGTTCTGTATTGACACGAACATTATTAATATATACATATGTCACTTTATGTATAATAATATAAGTTTATTTACCTGTGACATTGATAAGGAAGCAGATCTTTGAAGCTGAAAGAAAATTATTTGTAATAACAACAAAAATAAATAATTATTAAATTTACTCCCATTCCTGGAGACATACATCCAACAGAAGCACTTCTTGGTGGTTCGCCGACTTCTTCCTACAAATATATGTAATACATTGTTATCTATATCAAATGCTAATACCATCTTAAACTAATATTACCAAACTACCACAAAGCACTAAATTAATTATATTACTAGAGAGTCCCAAGTCAAACAATGCTTTAAACAAAACTCTCATAAAATAACAATTTAGTCCTATACCCATTTGATGTGTATTTCAAATATTAAATCACATGGTATAAGAGTATTATTATACTATAATAAATAATATTATACAATGACGAAATTTTATATATGTCGTAATTAACTTTAAAACTAACAAAAGCAATTAAACTAACAAAACTTTTAAAAATTTGATTTTTCCGGAAACTTAGTGACAAAACTTACTCTACTATTCAGATTTCAGACTCTTCTTCTTTACCCTATTCAAGTTTTTGAAATATATAATAATAGTTATAACTCTCTAGCTCTTTTTGAGACTATTAAAGTTCTGAAAATATACACTAATGCCAAGAATATATAATTACTTCTTAATTTTGTGATAAAGAGTCAAGAACTATTACTTTTAGGTTTATGTTTGGCTACAACAACAACACGCTTCTTTCGTTAACATATATTCCTGAAGTAAATTAGTTTATGTATATATTAATGTGATCGATGTTATCGTATGTTACTTTAAAATAATCATTTTAAAAAATTCAGTATTAATTTTCAGTATATCTCAATTATGAAAACCTTCTTGAAAATATCTATCCATAATGAAAAAAAGATTATAAAATCTTTCTATTGTTTTCGATCTCAAATTTATAGCATAACTTGTAAAAGAAGTTGTAAAAAAAGGTTTTCTTGAAAACTTACTGGTCTCTGACAGCAATACCTCATTCGCTAAAAATATAAAAATAGTTTAAAGAATTGTAACATATATCATGTTATTTTTACCCTATTACCACTTGGGGCCTGGTTCATATCATCACACTGCTATATAACAACTAATTGTAATTAAATATGTTCTTGAATTATGTGAACAAGTCTTAGATCGTGTGCTGCTCATGTAATTGAAACAGACAAGCAATTTAGGAAAATATATTCTTTTTAATAAATAATAAATATTGAAAATTTAAATTGTAATATCTTTATCTTTAATACATTATTCTTTACCATATTAAACAGTTCTGCTACGCCGAAAGAACTTGCATCACACTATCCAATTAAAGAATTTTAATTTAATTTTAATTTGGAATTTTTTTATTTCACATCTTACCTCTGGTTCTCGAGTACTAGGCTTCAACAAATAAAAATGAAAAATGAATTATTTTTGAAATTAAAGAAAATAATTTTCTTTTACAAGATAATATATAAAAAATTTTATACCGTTTGAATCATTTCTGGTTCTCCTTGAAAATTCATATTGCACTACCCAATGGAAAATAATGTATACTATATTAATTTAATATATTTTGTTACATTTCTTACCTCAGGTTGCTAAATTTGCGTTGGTAATACATAAAATGGAACAATATTTCAGTATTTACAAATAAAGACAATAATATCTAATAATATAAAAATATTTTTTTACCATTCTCGAAACATGTCTCTTATGTATGAGATCATTATGTGTGATAATTTCTATCACACTACCCAATAAAAAATAAATAGAATTTAAAATAATGAGGAAGTTTTTACAATAAAGTTTTTAAAGTTATTGTAAAAAATAAAATAAATTTAAAATAAATTTAATTTAATTTAAGTTTTTTACCTTCGTTTTTAAATATAATTTTTATAATAAATATTACCGTTCTACTCATAACTGGAGTGTCTGCTCTACATGGATCACACTAATCAAAAATTAACACATTATCCATTTACAATATTCTATTACATTTCTTACTTCAAAATCCGGAGAAGAAGACTATATGGAATATAAAGAATTATATATTTGAATTGTTTAAATAGAAATTTTTTACCATTCCACCCATATCTGGAACGCCTGCACTGCATGGATCACACTACTCACGGAAGGAATATAATCAATTTCTGTTTGAAGAATTTAAACAAAATTCTTACCGGAGGCCCTAACGCAGGTAACTTTAACAAATAATGTTTTAAATATTATTAATCTATTATAATAAGTTTAAAATATTTTTGTATATATTTGAATGAAGTTGTTTTTATTACCTGTGGGCGATTAGATGTGATTTGTGGACATGGTCGACGTCTTTGTATTGGTGCCTAAATTGAAATTCATTTCATTCAAACGTTAATAATCAGTTGGTATTTAGAAAATGTTTAATAATTCTTTATAAATTTTTTTAATTCCAATTCAAACTTTTTTTAAAAATATTTTTGCTGAATGGCATTTTTTTAACGAAATGTCTTAATAAAATTATTTTTGAATATATAAAAATGTAATTTTGCAGATATAACCAATATAATATTAATTTTATTAATTAATAAATTGTGAAAATTATTTGTCAGTTAGCTTTTGTTGCTAAGTATCATGTTAAATTAAAAAGATTTTTAAATTATTTATAAATTTTTAATCAAATTTTTGTATTTCAAGAAATCTTATATGCTAAAAAAAACTTAAAATACTTTCATTCTTAAGTACATATATTACTGTGATCAAAAAATTTGATAGATCTTTTAATTTAAAAACCCACATAGTTTTTTGATTCTCGCAATTGGTAACATTGAAAAAAAATCTGCCGTGAACGACTATCAACATTAATTGATGAAAAACACGTCATGGAAATCAATGATTTGGAGTTCAAAAGGTCATGTTAATAGGATTCTGCGATTATTCTAGTATAATGCATTATAATTTCTTCCGCAAAGCTAAACTGTTAGCGTGCTATATTATTTAAGCGTTAGCGATTATTTAATACCCTTGCAATTTCTGACGATAATTCTAGATCTTTTTAAAGCGATAGTGCAACATCTTGCATTACATTAGGTTTCTGAGACCATATCGCCAAAAACATAACCCAAATCATTCCACGACCTTCGCATTCCCCAGATAGCACTGTGTGACTTCAGACTATTCTCTAAGCTCGAAATAGGGAATCGCACCGAACACATGGCTTTAACACGATGTGTGAAACTCATTTTCTCAATTGTAATCGGTTTGAAGATCAATCTGAAAATCAACTTTGTTTATAGGATTAGTCAAAACGTTGACATAAGTGGATTAAATCGGGAGGACAGTAGCTTGAAGATAATGAGAAAGATTAAGAAAAATAAAGACAAATTTTGGAGGCTACAAACAATTTTGCTACCACAGTGTTATGATATATAAAGTGTAATAAATACTATTTTAAATATAATTGATCTCTTACAAAATATATAGGACACATTTTTATACATATGTATCTCATACCTGTGGAGGAGGTCTGGGCCTTTGTGCATTTATTTGTCGACGTTCGTGCAGAACACCCTAGATGAAAACATATCGAATTATGATCATTTGATAAATAGTAAATTGTTATTCAGTAATAATAAATTAACATAATAAATTCGTTCGATTATATTAAATTTTTGTACGTCTACTCCTTAACTTTGAGTTTTGTAAAGAGCATTAAACTACTTACTTCTGGATTGCATTTTGTACGAATCTAAAAATGACGAGATTATGATTTTAGTTTAAATACATAAAGCATTTTCGAAATTTTAGAAACTCTAATTTATGCAACTTACCCTTGCAATATGCTGTTGTTGTGATAATTGTGTTCTACTCGGACGATTCTAATAAAAAATGTAATTAAGATAAAGACAATAAATTGATTAGAATTAAAACATAAATTATTTAGATAAACATATAAATTAATTAAAATTATTTGTACCAAATGTTACATGCATTGATAAATTATCAATTTATTGACATTGATTTGATAATACTTCTCAACGGTAATAAACCTTAGATATAGTAGAAATATAACATGTCATATACAGATCGACTCCCTTACTCCATATAATTAGGTCTATTTAGATACTGAATAGATCATTTTAGATCATTTTAAGCATACACACATGAAATACGTATACATATATAAACACACGCTAAGTCTTCCAAGAGAACCTTGTGCTGGACCAGGAAACTGCTTAGTCACTTTAAAGAAGCATACAATAATATACTTAATGTCAATACTATTGATATCGGATAGACATTTTAGAAACGCAGTTCTAAGAGTATGTGTTCCCCTTTTGGCAAGTATCGGACTGTAACTGGGTAGATGGGTAACATTTAACAGCTGCTTTTTTTTTGTTTCTTCTCATAGGCGTAGTTAGATGTGTGTTTACTATATTATTTTTGATTTACAATTTTGAAATATTTTGTACATATAGCTAGTTTAAAACTTTAAGCACACATTTGAGATCGTGTTGCTCAATCTTCTTTTGTAGAGATATGAGCAGAGAACTTACGATTACGTATAGAAAGCGTAGCTATATAATTATTATTCGGTGTTATTATTCAACAATAGTTTATTATACAATAGTAAACTACATAGCTTCATAAGTTAAGATCAGGGTAAGCTTATATTGGTAGACAAGAACGAACTAATACAGCTATGAGTGTTAACAGAGTTTCAGTAAATTATTTTTCTCTACTAAAGTAACAGAATATATTTGGTTTGACTTCTCTATTTATGGTTAAGCCATAACCATAAATAGATAGTGGCCAGTAAGTAACTGGCACTACACTTCCATCAAAATTAAATGAACCCATGTGTTTATTCGGGCAGGATGATATATCCTGATTTCATGATCACCCTACCACAATTGCTAGAATCTAGCAATCAGGACAATATCGATGTATGAAATTTTATGTATGAGTAGTATCTATAATGGTAGAATTATAGCACATTTCAATAGTTTTTAGTATATTATCGCTCACACATAATATTGCTCAATTTTATATGGTTAGTCTTATTTAAAAAATACCTGGCAACTCGCACACATCTGAAAGTTATGAAAAAATATAATGTTAGCAACCATAAATTATGTTTAATTTTACTGGTATATACCTTGGATAGTCTGTGATGAATTAATTGCGAACTTGATGGAATATAGTTTTAAAAATTTATGAAATTCATCGAAAATTTAACAATAAAATCGCACACTAATATCCAAACGTTTTGCATCATTCACTAAAAATTTTGAAATTTATAGTTAATGCAAAACTTTGGGATGTTCTTAGCCCATAGACATTGCACAAAAAAACACATAAATTTGGAACACAAATAAATGAAACGAATTTCCTTTAATTTAATCATAAATTTCATATGTCAATATACAAATTTATGAAATATTACAATGATTTCTAAGATCAATAATTGAATAAGATACATTAAAAATATTTTGCACATAAAAAATTTCTAGCTGTGCCAATAGATGTGTGGAGTAAAATAATTTTATAAAAACTTCCATTTTTATTTTAAAAGTGGGTTCTATAATGATCGTATATATGATTACTGCTACCCATTTTTATAACTATAGAAATCTTGTCGTTTTGATTGGCTTTTTCTTGCGGTATTTATCAAGTTTTCATTTGTCACGTTAACAAGTTATGACAAGTTTAGCTTTTGACGACTTATAGAACAGCTTATCGCAGGTTGAAGTTGTTAATTGATAACCCCTAAATCCTCATATGATATCATTTTCTGAATTCAAAAAGTAAATCAAATCAAGTTTTTATTTTAATTGTTTCGAAATTTTTCTCTGATGTAGCTAGGAGATACTATAGCTAGCTTGGTGCCCGGAAAGACTTGCTGTGTCAGACCGTAACCCGGTGTCGGGTTGTTATGGCCAAATAAGTAAATAAATACATAGCTAGCAATTCCTCAGTTGTAATTTAACAATTGTTCGTTTTCAAAATATCATAAGTTAGAGGATTATCAGCATAAATAACATCGTTTGCGTTACCCACAAAATAAAGTTCCATAGCGACAAATCGCACATATTGGAGGCAAATCTCTAAAGCACTAGAAAAAATGGTACAGATCAGAAATTCTATATTATACGGTAACTTGTAATCAATGCAATGGTCTTTCCAAAGTTGTTTGCGGTTTTTTACTGATTCAAATATGACAGCTCTGCAAACTATCCGTCAAATATTAGCTTCATCACTGAAGAAAAATTGATGCAAAATGTATTTACTGTAGAATCAGAATTCTTGAAAAAAATTTTAAGCTTTTCGGGGTCTGTGTATGAATTCTTTTATATTTTTTTAATGTCTAGAGTCTTCAAAACACTTTATTGACACGCTAGAATATTTTACTAATAATAAATCTACTCTCACTATTATTGCATAAAAATTTTAAAATAATTTAACAAAATATATAGAATTTATAGTAACAAGTAGTAAAATATTGAATTACACGTGATAATGCCCTATCAAAAGGATTGCTGTAAGAATGTGTGAACTCTACAACACTGGTAAAGTTGGGATTAAAGATAAGAAATGTGATGACTAACCATGTGGTTGAATTGCAAGAGTATTATTCATCATGACTTATTATATTACTAAATCGATTGATATGATTTTCAATATCGGCGGTTATCAGAAGTGTTTGAGAATACTTCTTATTTTGCTCTTATGCTTGCTCTTAATAATGCTTTGATGAGATATATAACTTCAATGATTCGATTATGATTGAAAAATTTTATAATACTTTGTATTATAGCAATACACTGTTATTGTAACAAAGCTAACCTTAAAAGAAGACTAATGCTTTTCAAATAATTTTTACATTTAATTATCTAGTAAAAAGTGTACATAACAAAGTTAACATACACTTATTTTAAAACTATATATTACTATGACACTTAATATTATAATAAAATTGATTTTTTCCTTACTCCTTAAATATATAAAATATAAATAAATATATCGGTTGCTTGATAAAAAATTTTTTTTTTGCAATTCCTATATTATTCTTGGAAAGTTGCTCCATTAATATAGTAAGTGTAGAGTTTAAGCTTTTATGTAGATAGAATAAGCTTTGTATAAGAGTAAGCTTGTAAGTTAAAATAAAATAAATAAAAATCAGTCTTGATCGAAACCTAATCGTAAACATTACATTGGCGACGAGGAAAATATTGTTAAAAAAATTATTCAAAAAAAAAAATTAATTTATCGTTAAAAATTATTTAAATTAAAATTAAATTTTAATTAAATTTTTTAAAAAAAAAAAGAAAAAAAATTTTTAAATCATCATATAAAATTATATGAAAAGCAGTTTGACTCGTGCAAAATAAATTATACACAAAAATTATTTAAAAAAGAAAATTTTTGTTTTTGAAAAAAATGACACAAAATGAAAGTGTATGCTTCACAAGTACGACCATGTCAGGTGTGCGGGAGTTCAGACCGCAAGTGGACAGTTGGTGCGACTGGGTGGAGATCCTAGACTCCCATTTTGTTGAAATGGCTTGTCAGGACGACAAGATCAAGCGGTCGATCCTGTTAAAAAACATTGGAATGGAGGCTTATGGACTGCTGCGGGACATCTGTGATCCGGATCTGCCTGCAACCCAAACGTATGATAAATTGTGTACGCTTTTGAGAAGTCACTTTTCAAAGCCGATTATTATTTTTCGCGAGCGAAAAATATTTTTTGATGCTGTTCGTGAAAAAGGGCAAACAATTATGGAGTGGTTTGCACTTTTAAAAAAATTAGCAAGAAATTGTAAATTTGGGGCACAATTAAATTCGTTTGTTCTAAATAAATTCGTTACTGCTTTAGACGGTAGAACATTCGAAAGATTGTGTGAAGAAGATGAGACCTTGACAATTGAACGGGCATTAAAAATTGCAATAATTACGGAAGCAAAAAATGAAGCTTTCAAACAGCAACAAACCCATGATGTAGAGGTTAATGCCCTTTTTTAAAAGAAATTTGCATTTCAAAGGCGCAAACAGTGCGAGTACGAATAAAGCTTGCATGCATAACAAAAATGCAAACAGCGGCAGCAGCAGCGGCAGCGGCAGTAAAAAGCAACGGCAGAGCTGTAAACACTGTGGTTGGAGAAACCATGAAAGTAGTAGCTGCAAATTTAAAAATTGCAAATGCAATAATTGTGGACGTGTGGGCCATTTGGCCAATATTTGTTTAAAAAAGAAAACAATAAGTATTGTAAATAATAATGAATGCAAAAATTTTTCTAATTTAGTAAATAATTCTGATACTAATAATTTTTCAATTTTTAGTGTAGATGATAAGTGTCATCCCAAGTCACCACCTCCTTTCGTCATTGATGTAGAAGTGAACGGTGTTAAGCTCGCATTTGTGCTAGATTCTGGAGCAGCTTGTTCATTACTTTCGAAAGGCGATTTCCATAAACATTTTGGGAGAATCAAGCTAAAGAAATGCAACGATCAGTTTGTCACATACAGTGGTGATATTGTGGGGATTTTGGGTGAGTTTAGTGCTTCAATTAAGTGTCGTGGACAGTCGCACAAGTTGCGAATTGTGGTTAGTGATACGCTTAGCCGCCCTGTTTTTGGTAGGGATTTTATGTCACTTTTTGGGATGGAAATAAGCACACTGAGTCAGTTAGATGATAGAGTAGCGTTTCTAAAAAGTAGATTTTCTACAGTTTTTGCTGAAGGGTTAGGAACGTATAAGGTGCATAAGGTTAAACTTAGTCTTAAAGAGGATGCAAAACCTGTTTTTTGCAAGCCCAGGCCAGTGCCATTGGCTTGGCGTAAAGAAATCGAAAGACAGATTCAGGATTTGGTAAAAAAGGGTGTTTTAAAATTAATAGAGGATTCAGATTGGGGTACGCCGTTAGTACCAGTGTTAAAGTCTAATGGTGAATTACGTATTTGTGGCGACTATAAGTCGACCATCAATAAGCACCTGCTAGATGTGAGGTATCCGTTACCTAGGATTGAAGAACTATTTGCTTCCCTTAAAGGACAGTTCTTCACCAAACTTGATTTGTCAAATGCGTACAATCAGCTTGAATTGGTAGAAGAATCCCAACGGTTATGCGCATGGAGCACACATTTAGGTATTTTTAAGATAACCAGATTACCATTTGGTGTTAAGCCTGCCGCAGCCATTTTTCAGAAAACTATAGAAAACGCATTGCGTGGTATACCTAATGTTGTTAATTACCTGGACGATATTCTTATATCAGGAGATACTATTGAAGAGCATAGTAACTCCATTGAAAAAGTTTTGAAAAGATTAGAGAGCGTGGGTTTGCGTTTAAACGCTAATAAGTGTGTTTTCTTTCAAAAAACAATTTCCTATTTAGGTTTTGATATTGATAAAAATGGTTTGTCAAAAAACCAAGATAGGATTTCAGCAGTCGTTAATGCTCCAATACCGAACAATTTATCTGAAGTTCGTGCATTTATTGGATTAGTTAATTACTATTCCAAATTTATTCCTAAGTTTGCTGAGATTATGGAGCCGTTATATGCATTGTTAAGAAAGGGTGTTAAATTCAGGTGGACAAAATCATGTCATTATGCCTATGAAAATCTTAAAAAGGAAATTACATCCGATAGATTCCTAGCTTCTTTTGACCCCAGTAAACCTATTATTTTACAAACGGATGCGTCAAATGTCGCTATAGCCGGGATCTTGTCCCACAGTTTTCCTAATGGAACAATTAAACCGATCGCTTTCGTATCTCGAGCGCTTTCGACAGCTGAACGAAATTATAGTGCTATTCAAAAGGAAGCACTAGCCATAGTGTTTGCAGTAACTAAACTGCGACTCTATCTGCTTGGTAATAAGTTTGTTTTGCAAACTGATCATAAGCCGCTTTTGTCAATTTTTGGTGAAAATAAGGGACTACCAGTAATGGCAGCAGCTCGTATTCAGCGATGGGCTTTGACATTGTCTGGATTTGATTATACCATCGAGTATGTCAAGGGGTCAGAAAATTTTACAGACAATATTTCGCGTATACCTCAAGATTTGCTTCCTTCTGTAGATACAGAGGAAAATAGTTATATAAATTTTATAACCAAAAATAATGAGCTAAATTTAGATTTTAAGGTAATTGCAAAAGAGACTGCTCGCGACCCCTGTTTAGCGAAAGTAAAAGCCGCTATTGAAACTGGGAAGTTACATTTGTTAAAAGACAAAATATTTTCGCCTTTTCAAACTAAAAATTTAGAGCTTTCGATTGAGTGCGGATGTATATTATGGGGTTTTAGAAGTGTAATACCTTATACTTTGAAAAACCGTGTTTTAAAAGAGTTACATGCATCTCATTTAGGCATTGTAAAGACAAAAGCTTTGGCTAGGTCGTATGTTTGGTGGCCTAATATAGATAAGGATATAGTAAATCTTATAGATAGATGTATTCCATGTAAAAAGGTTCAGCCTAGTCCAAAGAAAAGCCCACTAATTCCGTGGGAAATGCCTAGCTCAGTATGGTCGTGCATTCACATTGATTTTGCCGGGCCAGTCAAGAATGTTTACTTTTTAGTCGTAGTTGATGCATACTCCAAATGGGTAGAAATTTTTAAAACAAAGCAGATAACAGCGGCATTCACGGTGGAGAAATTAGAAGAGCTATTTTGTAGGTATGGTTTAGTGGATGCCATAGTAAGTGATAATGGAACCCAATTTACAGCATGGGAATTCCAACAATTTTTAAAGGATAATGGCATCAAACAGATTCTTACACCTCCAGGGTTTCCAGCTACAAATGGGCAAGCCGAAAATTTTGTTAAAACTTTTAAAAAATCTCTTGAAGCAAGTTTAAGCTTTGGTGAAAAAGGAAGTTTAGACATAGTGCTTAAGAGATTTCTATTTGATTATCGTACTATGAAGCATTGTACAACAAGAGAGTCTCCAGCTAAACTTATGTTAGGTAGAGAAATGAAAACGCGGTTCGATTTATTAAAACCACCTTTAGTGAAAGACAGAGTGAGAGAAAAACAACTTAGTAACATTCAAAACCATGGGGGTTCTAGAGATATTATTTTTACGGAAGGCACACCGGTCTTTATCCGAGATTTTTCAGACCCAAATAAGGTAGGATGGCAGGAAGCGGTAATTAAGGAGCGTTTAGGTCGACGAACATATGGTTGCACAATATCAAGAACTAATAGGGTGATTAAGCGCCACGTCGACCAAATGATGGCTTATAGTGGTAGTGCTATAAAAAATGACTTAACTACGAAGGAGTTGAACGGTGCTGCTGAAGAATCAAGTCCAAATGTAGAGTCAGCCGTCGCTACTACGGAAGGGTATGCGACTGAGGATGTAAATGTAGGTAGTGGTTGCTCGCGTCTGCGAGAACGTAAAACTAAGATTAATTATAAGGAATAATTCATGAATATAATTTAATTTATACGGAGTAATACATTGTGACCGAAAAGCTTTCGGAAATTCTCATTTAAAATTCGCGCGCTGTATATTT